GAACATGGTGTCATGCCAGCTTTGACACATTGGGTTAATTTGCTGCTCCCTGGAGGTGACCCCTGAACCTCGGGGACACGGGGTCGAATTGAACTCAGAGTGAGACAGCCAAAATCATGTCAGTCTGAGGAGCCCGGGTCATGGGTCACCTCTGAGATTCTTGGTATATAGGCCAAAACAAGGACCATATGTGGACGGAAACACATTTGAAACAAAAATAAGTCCTGATTTTCCGTCCTCACTCCAAACTGGCCATTTTCTTTTCTTTTCTTTTCCTTGTTTCTCCTTCTTCGCCTCTCCTCCCGCCCCCTGAAAATCTCGACCCACCACAGACTTTCTGCCCTAATTCAATAAAGTCATAAATACCGGCGTAACAGCAAATTGACATAATGTTGGCTGCACGCCCTTTAAATTGTCAGTGACAGAAGTTTTCCCAGAGGTGAAATATTAATACAAACACAGGATTTCTTTTCCAAAATACCCAGCTCCCAAATTCTCCCATGTTTACTTTTCTCCTTGCTCCTAATTTCTGTTAGTGTGAAATGTTATACTTACTGTTGTATTTACTGACAGGGCAGGAATGGAAACCTGGGAGCCGGGAGAGTGATCCTTATGGGGCAAAGCTCAGCCAAATAAGTGAGTCTCTGTCCTTTCAGTTTCAGTTTCACCTGACCAGGAAAGCTCCTTTCACCATCTGGGGAGTGTGAGCACATCACTGATTAATCACCATTCAAACTGTAAATAAACTCACCATTAATAATTTCAAAGTATTTGCTTTGCATTGCAGTTTCTTTCACTGCTTTGTATTAAATACTGTAGTAATGAGACACATAATTCCCACAAGTACCAAATTATTATAATAAAATACATGCTGCAGTAAGAAGAGTACAGTGTGTTCAGTGTGTTGGAGTTTGTTGTAATTAGAAAGAGGACAAAACATGAGCATGAGCTTCATGCAAGAACAAGGTTGTGAGGATCAGTGCTGTTATTTTTGCAAATAGACAACAGGTTTGAAATTTAAAGTCACATTACATTTAGAACAGCAGAATTATTATTGTATAAAGGCACCTATTATGAAATTATTATGAAACACGGAGACGTGCTGAGGGATAATAAAACAGACAAAGATCTGTCTGAATAGAATAAACATTGTATTAGACTGTGTAAGTGAAAATTGCAAATATTTGTGCAAATGAAATCCTGTCATGCCACAGCCGTGATGTGTGAACTATAATAGGTACATAGAAATAGGCATGAGTGATAACTACAATATACATAATAATGCATCACATTAAATAGTATTGTATGTAATATACACATAATATACAGCAATGATGTGAAAAATATATAACAGCATTGGAAGAGAATACCATGTTATAGCATATAATGTAATATAATATAATAATATAAATGTACAATTATAACAATATGGCAGAGTGAGTAAATAAAATAGTTCATGTAACTACTAAAACTAATCCACTAATAACAATAACTACCAATAACTGATAACTGATGTACAACATAGTTACTACTGAATGTCTAATAGGAAGATGTTAATAAAAAAAATCTTAATCAAAAACTTTCTCTGACCTTCGGCTTCATACATTGTCACCTGGTTTTAAGTA